CCCACTGTATACTGTGTAAACACAGCAGGGGTCCTCCTATAATAAGGCTGTCTGGGTGAGCAGTGGGCCGCAACTGACGGAGAGGACCCAAGCTGTCAGAGGGCCTAACAGGAGGTCTGCGGTGGCCCAGAGCCTGATCCGCACACAGACTCACCTCAAAACGTCCACATGACCCGCATCGACATTCTGACAGAGAATACATGCACCAAAACCAAACCTACTGAAGTACTGAAGCATAGCAGGACACCTGTTAAGGGAAACACCACATTAGGAAGAGAGTGGCTCACAAACACATCTATTCACTTATTCACACTTGTTAGACTGGGAAGGACCCACCCAGTTTGATACTGATGTTTCTTATGCTGATAGTTAAATATCACACCGGAGAGGCCAGTTATGTCCACAGCTTGTCCTTTCACAGCTTCTTTACTTTTTAAAGTTTAAACAAAAACTTTTTTTAGGCTTCAGATCTTTGGTTTTATTTCTTAATTACAACCAACAAGCTTTGCTTCAGAGTACAACAATAAGTCCGTCTTTTACCTGGGAACCTGTGTACCCAAATGGTGGATGAGGTTTCAGTTGGTTGACTCCTATGTCTGTGCTACTGTTAAACCAATCTTGATTAACTTTCTAAACTGGAGGCAAGGAAATTATGAGTTTAATGTCAACTTAGTTTCTATAGTGCCAGTTGGCAACGTTGTCATCTCAAAGCCCCACACAATAAAATCAAATTCACATCAAATACCAAAACTTGACCAGATTCATTATCAGCCAGCAGGTTTTGGAGATTTACTTCCTGATATTTGTACATTTCCTCAGACTGGATAACAGCAATGTGACACTGACTTGCAACATGGATGTTTTATCACCACAAATAACACAAGCATAGAGGAGATTTACTGTGAGGTGGAGATGCTAATGCTAACGGTTAGCTTTTACTAGATGTTGTCTGCTGATTCCTGGACGATAGAACAACAGCCTTCCCCATTGCGAGTCATCTGTGACGTACATCTGTCAAGCTTTTCGAATCCTAGAATTTCACCATCTGTTTTCTATCAGAAGCTAACGCAGGAGATAAGAGACAAATTTCATGTTCAGCCTGCATGAAAAACTCACTGTGAACGATTATAATCAGAAAGAATCATTAAAAAATGTTTTTTCAGTCTTCCACACCTTTAACACGAAGAAGACTCTCAGAACTGGGCTCATGACGTCCATCTTCAATATGATTATGCTGAATATGAATATGCTGAACAGATATTTGGCCATTATTGTGTTCAAATACCACAAGAGGTGCATTATATCGAGAGTTTATTTTAACAGTCTGGTGTTTGAATCATTCCCCTTTTAAAATCCAGTTCACAGTGTCAATAAAAATCCTTGTTATTTAAACATCGGTTGAAAACTGATTTAAAAGGAATTATAATTGAGTCTCAGCACATTGTATTCAATTTATGATCCATTTAATGTTTCAGTACATGCTATGCACTAAACTGGTTTGACTTTTCTGAATTCTTTTGTCCTTAACCTCTCGGCTCTGATGTTGCCAAATGCTTACATCACCTGCAGAGGGAGTTGTACAAAGCCTTTTTGTTTTCTAATCACAGGATATGAGTCTAGTTGGACAATGTGGATAGAAAGATGTAAACCATCACCCAGATGGTCTCATTTACACTACAGAGGGGGAAAAAAAGAAAAGTAGAAGGAAAAAATGAGGGACAGAAGAGGAGAGTGTGTGAGATGCTCTGCTGTATAGAAATTAAATCACTGGCCAAATTATTGCGTGCTTGCTCATTCCCCAAAGACTTGGGCATCATTTGCTAGAAAGTGTCTAATAATTGGTTTTCGGCCATGTCAGACACATGCAATTCCCTCTACTAATGGCTCTGTTAGGAGGAACTAGGCCTCCTGGGTCAGAACAGCACAGAAAAAAGCCAGACGGCAAAAAGTATCATACACTCTTGTTCTTTTGTATTTTTGCCCCTCACAGTTAAATGAGGGAACAAGAGAGAGAGAAAGAAAAGATATGGGAAAGAAGAGAGATGGCAAGAAGGAGTGAGTGTATATGTGAGCGAAGAGGAAATGAAGTGGCAATAAGTGCAGCCAAAGGGGAAATGCTCTTCACCGTGAGTTTAATACATCAGACTGGGGATTTGGCAGCCCGCCACACAGCAATTGTTTACCTTTTTGCTCGCTGGCTGCATCTGTTCTGTTTTGTAAACGGCGCTAAACTATTCGCCCGTAAACACCGGAATCAATAACAACTGCTAAGGGAATTCCCTCATCCCGCCCCTCCTTCCCTTCCCCATGTTTTCATCCCGAACCACCACCCTTTTCCTTCTCCTAGATCTCCTGCTCTCTCTCTTCTTTCCGTTCCCTGCCAGTCAAGACCAGCTTGTGTGCGTGTGTGTGTGTGTGTGTGCGTGCGTGCGCGCGCGCACACACACATCCGTGCTGTAGAGCTTGTGGAACCCACAGACACGAGAAGAAAAAAAATGGCTCACCAAAAATACCTCTCCTGTTTGTTGTCTCCTTTTGTGTTATGCTCTTATCATTAATACAAGCTACAAACTAAATATTACAAAAATTTTACCTTGAAAAGCAGATTTGGATTTTCTGTGGGACCCTTCCACCTTTGTGTATTTAGGTAACGTCCTCAGAACTTTTGACAAGTTAATACCTGCTTATATGATACTCACATCAACATAGCTTCCCATTTATCTTCCCATTTAGAATAACATTTTAACACTCTAATGTCACGTGGAGGATCTCTTATAAAAACGTATAATTTCTGCCCTGCTCTCAGCACCAGCTCCTCCCTTATTGATTCTCGGCACATTGACCTTCAGTTGAACTCTTCTGCCCGCTAGTGCCCCCTCCCTCCCCATTCTGCTCTACAAGACATGCTATGTACTTTGCTGCATGACACACCTGGGTGCTTTTAAGCACACCTCTCCATCAAGTGGCTATGGGAGCCTCCATTTGGTCTCACAGTTGTGACAGAGGTATAATGAGGTTTAGATGGCTATGTACTAAACTTGTATGGCTGTAGGCCTATTTGGCTAGGGGAGGTGACTATAAATACCTATATTGCTTGTTGGACAAAGCCCAGTGAAAGACAATGCTCAGCGCTGCTAAACATCGAGGTCATGTACCACTACTTAGAGCTGACTTAGTGAGCAAGTGAAGCCATCAAAGGGTCACAGGTTGATGGGATGAGTGGAATGAATGGTGGGAGAGGAGAGAGGCTGGGAAAGGTGACGCTCCAGATGAAGTGGTAGGTAATAGTTGTTGTGCTCAGATGAGCACCCCAGAGATGTAGGTAGGGATTGGGGGCAGGAGGGTTGTAGTGAAAGCTTTTACAGAATCAAGTGGCTATCTCCCAAACGTGTCCCTTTTCGTTGGTTGGATTACGTTACTATAGAAGTGTTGGCAGTTTTACTTTTCCCATCGCTTTAAGCATCAGATGCTCTTGATTTGCTAGAAATAGACAAGGCTGCTGGTGCATGCATGGATGTGCAAGCTGTAGACTAAGCCTGGGAGTCAGCCAGGTCACTGTGCACACATATGCAGCACGAAGAGGTCTCCTCAAGCCCGAACTCCCACTGGAACCCATTATAGAGGGGCTGCAGAGCCATGCAGCTCAATTGCACAAACATAAATACAATTGCACACTTTTAAAACACAAGCCACAAATTACATGGCAATGCACCAGCAATTTCATACATGCATTTACACACACTTGCATCTAAGTGCATTTATACACATGAACTTGCAAACACAAAACAGTCTTGGGATGATAGTGTCTTCTTGGTGACCACAACATCTGGTTGCAGTGTTAACAATTATTTTGCCAAGACTGATACACGCAATTGTGTGTATGTGTGTGTGTGTGTGTGTGTGTGTGTGTGTGTGTGTGTGTGCTGTCTACGAATCAAGTTATTCATAATGACCCACATTACATGCACAACAAGTATGTACACACACACACACACACACACACACACACACACACACACACACACACACACACACACACACACACACGCACGCACGCACTCACGCACACACACACACACACACACACACACACACACACACACACACACACACACACACGCACGCACGCACGCACGCACGCACACACACACACACACACACACACACACACACACACACACACAAAACTCAGTGACTCATACACATTAGTACCCATATAAACATACACAAGTGCCCAGACACAACACACTGAATCAAACCTCATGCATGATTAAATCAGACATCCTTGGGGACAGTGTTGTTGTCATGTTGTCAGATTTTGTTTAACAATATAGCAAAATTACATTAGGATCCAGAGGCAATAATGTCACCGTTATTGGAAATAAGACCACCCTCCCTCTCTCTTTCTTCTTTCCAGCTCAGCGCTCAATCATCCGTATGCTTTCAGATTCAAGGCTAATACTGAGCTCATCCATTCCCAAATGCCTTTGCAGTTGAGGAGCTCATTTAAGCGGACCCACAAAAGTATTTGTGCATGTGTCTCAGCGTATGGCAACACATCTCCCAGCCGCCCATTCTCCAGCTTAATGCGGAACATCCCCCGGGTGATGGCTTTGGCAGCCTCCAAAATGGGAAATCCATATTTGCCGAGGGGGTCATCGGCGGGTTAGGGGGAATGGGGAAGTTTTGTTGCTTAGAGGGAAGGTTGTACATGTGTGACTTCTCAGGGAGCAAAGTTTTGCATATTTTCCCAGTTTTCTTTGTTTATGCCGTGTATTGGGAAAAGATGAATGGTTCGATTTTTACAAGTGGTGTCATGCACAGCAAGACTTGTGAAGGGGGCTGTTTGCTAATGAGTGCCTGTTGGCAGGGAGATTGGGAAGAAAACCTCATAAAGTTGTTTATTTCTTTTTTTTGAACAGCATTTCATCTCTCTGTCAGTTATGAGATCTTACGCAATGATTATTTTATCTCTTTTTCTCTTTTTACCCCCTTCACAGCACCAGTGGAGCTTCCTGTGAAAACCAGGAGCTTCAGTTTGACCTCCCACCAGCTGAAGGTGTTAACCCAGCTGGCATGCATCCTGCTGGGCTTTGAGAGCAAAGTGAGGGAGCTGGTCACTAAGATGACCTTCGTAAACTATAAAGAGGACTCTTCTGAAAAAGGTACAGCTTCGTTTTTTTCAAAATATCGTGCCGAGTAATTTACATTTACATGAGGTTTCACATGTGATCTTAGTTTTCCTAAAACTGAATCTACAGCCCAGCAGGTCTTTCAGTGCTCCAGGCACGAGCAGCCTCACGCACACTCCCTCACACACATCCATACACACCATTACTAATTCTAGCATAAAGTCGGAGTTGTATCTGGGAAAAAAAGGAGTGTTTATTAGTTTGGAATTATCTTGGGTGTTACATAAGCCTTTAGTATCCTTTTCCTCTTTCCCCTTTGAACTGCCACAGCAGAGATGTTAAATGAAAGCTTTTGGTGCGTGGAGTAATTTCCATAAAGGTTACATTTACAAAAAACAAGACTTGCGGAAAGGCTCAATTTACAGAGAGGTAAACAGCCTTTAAAGGGCAGTTATCCAAATCATTAATTCCAGGCAATCAAACGGCTTAATTACCAGAAATTCATCAGATGGGCTTAAAGGTCAAAAAGTGATGTGCTCGCTGCTTCCTTCTTCTTCCATTGCACGCGGTCTTGTTCGGTTAAATTGCTTCGCCTGGGGTCTCACTCCTCGCTTTCCGATTAGAAAACTATGGCCTTGATGTTCATGCTTTTTAATTGAAACCCGATTCAACATCCTACACAGCTGTATTCACGCCACCTCCATATACAGTCACCATCCTAGCAGCAATAATCTAGGTTCAAGCCTAAATATGAACTTGCAAAGCCATTTTTATAAGCATTTTATCACTACTCCAGTGAAGGTATTTTCCTGTATGAGCTTTCAGAACCTAAAAACAAGAATTAAGCATCAGTGCATGTGTGCCAAAAGCTGCAGTTCAGCCTGGAATGAAAAGCAATTGTAGACTTTGTAACTACATCAGTTTTTTTGTTTTTTACCGATAGAATGTAAGAGTTTGACCAAGCATATTTATTTCAACTAAGATGTCTTTACAATTCAAACAAAGTTTTAAATTACACAATTTTAGCTTCTTTATTGTGTCATAATTTAGGAAACTTCAGGAAAGAAGATTCAAACATGGCGGCAGAAGGCAGGAAACCCACCTCATACGAACTCTCCACTCCAGAGGTAAGAGGATACAAAAAAGTATTTTCTGTCACTTTTTTTATTGTACTTCAGATTATTTATAAATTTGCATTTTAAAAACAGTGACCAAAAAATAGGTAGCAGAAAATGTGAAAGAGCAATTCCCCCCAGCATTAACTGACTTACATTTTTGCTTTTCAGGTTCAGACTCTGGAGTTTAACTGGAGGTCAGCGTTTAGTGATCTAGTTCCTCACATGGAACATTGTGTCGAAGTAGTGCTGGAGGATGTCTGTGCCAAGAATCTACAGCAAGAGGAGGCCTTACATTCTTCTGGATGCACTTCAGTCAGCATGAGCCCCATCACTGAGTTTTCTGTTGCCAACAACCACCTTAAAGAAGACTTCTGCAATTACTCAGACAGAGAGAAACCCAAAATGATAGCCAAGGTACTGTTTGATGACAGATAATCTTACAATAAAGAAAATTTTGATTTATTAACAGTCAAAACTGTATTCAGTAATAATAATATGTTTTTTGAGGCATCTTTCTAAAAACTCAAGGTCCGGTACAGTGAGAAAATGGGAATTAAAACATTAAAAGCAAGCACAAAAAGAAAACAATTACAGTGAATGACTAGCAGATTGAAAACAAGAATGAAATACTTAAATTCCAATGAATTCCAATGAGTAAGCACTTTTGAAATGGTGGGTTTTGAGTTTAGGTTAGAAGTGGGGAAGGATGGGTGCTGAAGTGTATGTAGAGATGAGAAGTGACTAAACTGTTCACTAAGGTTGAAGTGGTGGGATTAGAGAGTAACGGACATAGGCAATCAACATTTCGTAAGTGGTAGTACCCTTATCGAGTGATTCGGTAGTGGTAGGATAGAGTGCTGTCTAGAATTGGACCAAGGCTCTTAATCTGATCCAGGCAGATAACCGTAGTATTTGTTTTATAGCTATTGAGAACTTCCCTGCATTATAGTGCTGATTGTGTGTGCATGAAGAGGACTTCATTTTTATCAGAGTTCAACTGAAGAAAGTTTGAAGAGAGCTAGGACCTACTGTCTACATTGCAGTCAGTGAGTGAGGATGGTGGAAAAATGAAGGATGACGTAGTTGAAACAAATAACTGGGTGTTATCAGCGTTAATTTGATCAAAGATAGAATCCAAAGGAAGCAGGTAGATTATGAATAGTAGGGGGCTGAGGACAGAACCTTGAGGAGCTCCATATTTTACAAGAGAAGTGGAGGTAAATGTGTTTAACTGAAAAAATTCATTCACTTTGTTTTTAAGATTCATTCACGCAAGAAAAAAAATACACAAAATGTGCACACATTTAGCTGGTTTAAATACCTTTTTTTAGCTATCTCATTATCTTTCAATGGGAAGGGAGTCTTGTTTTATTACGTTACACTCATGTGGGTTTTTTAAATTGTTCATCTTGTAATGTATATGCAAAGTCCAGCTTTTATCCACTTCTTTACTGCATAGCGACACACACACACACAAGTGTAGGCATAATTCTGTGTATGAGTAACCTCTGGATCACATCTCTGTTTGTCACTCCCCTTGTGCATGAGCTTGTTTTTCCCTACACAGTCGAGTCCCCATTCCCTTCATCCTTCTTTATTACTGTCTGTCTGAGTAAACAATGCAGGTTTACACACAACACCCGAACTCAAGGAGATTAATGCATTTTGTCACCACAGTACAAAGCTCCTGCAGTAATAGAGAGCCCAAATAATTTGGGCCTGACATGGTTGACACCCTGTAACAGAAAGGGTCTTGGGAAGAGTCATCAGTATTACTTGAGGGGAGGACTCCAGGGGACAAAAGAGACACCGGAAGAAACCAAGCACCAGTATAGTTGATATTATGAAGGTTAGATGATGTGTAGAGAAAGGCTTTCAATGGGGTAAATGGAGGATATAGGGTGTACCAATGATAGAGGGACATGCTCCAAAGACAAAGTGGTACGCAGGATAAAGAAGGGATAGTTTCAGCAAATGATGTAAAGAGAGGGCCTGGGAAATGGCAAGGAGAGGTGAAGTAGACTCTTGAGATTGACTTTTCTCAGGGAAAAGGCCAGTGATGTGAAGCCAGGCTTAGGCTCTAACACCACAAAGGATCTGAGTATTTGGTGCCGGACATCCACACTAAACTCTTTTTGTCGTCTCTTCTGTTGCACCATAGCCCAACAACTTCTCAGGAAGCTTTGCATGAAACTTCTTGAAAGTTTCTACATTCCTCCTCCTCATCAGCTTTACTCCTACCTGATACTCTCTACCACTGTTCAGACCTCTTTAATTCCTGTCTCACCTCCACCTTTTACTTCTCCATCCCCTTTTACTCTGACAGAGTTTGTACCTCTAATTGCAAACCGGTGTCAGAATTTGTCTGTGCTCAAGACCTGTACACCGTACTTATGTGTAGGTCAACGCTTCAAAGATGAGAGCCTTTCAGGCAAAAGGTTATACTTGCATGCAATTTGCATTTAATAACACTGAGCTGGAGAGACACTCAAGACGAAACTGTAAGAGACACTGTATATCTATTGTATATTTTCCCCTTTATTCTTTTTGACATGTCCTAGAACATATAGCAAATAACTTGTTTGTTGAAAAATAATATGTTAGGTCATACCTCAGTATTTTATTATTTAAACTCACTTCACAGTTAATATTACCCTAAATATGCTGGCTTCACTAATACTGTTCATGCATTAGAAATCAGGGCACATTTTGTGTGCGTGTGTGCGAGTGCATGTAGGGTTAGGGTGAGGATTAGGGTGTGTGTGTGTGTGTGTGTGTGTGTGTGTGTGTTAGTGATGTGTCGGTTGCGAACGAACCGGCCCTAAGAGCCGGCTCTTTGAAGTGAACAACGGGAGCCGGCTCGTCATTGGGAGCCGTCCCCTCCCCCCTTCCCTCTTGCTTTGGTGAAAGCTACAGGCGATAAGTCAACATGTGTAACTGCATGTCCAGACTGTCCACACACAGAGCAGTAGGGACGGAGAAGAGGGAGGATCAGACTCAGACACACGGCAGAGCACATGCAGGTAGAGGGAGACGAGAGGGAATGAGGAGGAGGGAAAAGGCAAGCGATAGGGAGGAGAGTGCGATGAAGACGGTGAGAAAATGAGCGCCAGCAGTCGGAAAGTGGAGATTTCTTCAAATGTTCAGTTATGAAATCCATAGAAATGATAAATATTTAATATATTGCATTTTTTACATTAGTAAATCATTTTACATATAGTTTAGCATTATTTTGGTTATAAATGTACTCTACGCAACAGAAAATCTGAGGAGCCACTTGGGAGCCGAAAGAGCTGGCTCTTTTTGGTGAGCTGAGCCAAAAGAACCGGCTCTCTAAAAAAACAGCCGGAATTCCCATCACTAATGTGTGTGTGTGTGTGTGTGTGTGTGTGTGTGTGTGTGTGTGTGTGTGTGTGTGTGTGTGTACGTGTGTAACTATCCTACTTAGGACCAAAACTGGCATATTCACTAATCTTCTAAAGACTGATGGGCCTTATTATGACCAAAACCCAGTCCTAATATGGAACTCCCTGTTTGAGGTTTAGGGGTAAGATGTGAATGGAGTTCTTGTTACAGTTAGGTTTCGGAATGCACTGGTTATGGTTAGGGTATAGTATTGGGTAAATGCATAAATGCAGTTATTAAAATGAATGAAAGTCATTACAAAGTCCTAATGTGGATAGAAAAAACAAACTTGTGTGTGTGTGTGTGTGTGTGTGTGTGTGTGTGTGTGTGTGTGTGTGTGTGTGTGTGTGTGTCAGCAGCCTTGCTTCTGTCAGTGCACCGCTGGGCAGTTGTGGCTACATTGTAGCTCATCACCATCAGTGTGTGAATGTGTGTGTCAACAGATGAATGATACACTGTAGTGTAAAGCACTTTGGAGTCCTCTGACTCTTAATGGCTGCAAGTGCGGGTCATTTATCATTCATGTTTAAAGTATCTTTCTGAAGTATTTCTCTTATTCAATTGCATCAACTAGTGGCTGACAAGCATATCACACAAACGGTGGCACAGGAGTTAAGTGCTCGCCTCGCAATCGGAAGGTTGCAGGTTCGAGCCCCGCTCAGTCTGTCGCTGTCGTTGTGTCCTTGGGCAAGACACTTAACCCACATTGCCTGCTGGTGGTGGTCAGAGAGACCAGTGGCGCCAGTGCTCGGCAGCCTCCCCTCTGTCAGTGCGCCCCAGGGCAGCTGTGGCTACATTGTAGCTCATCCCCACCAGCGTGTGAATGTGTGTGTGAATGGGTGTGTGAATGGGTGAATGACTGATTGTGTTGTAAAGCGCCTTGGGGGGGTTCCAGGACTCTAGAAGGCTCTATATCAAATACAGGCCATTTACCATTTACCATTTACAAATAATCTCTCTCTCCGTCTTTTTAAGATGGCGACTTCACATTTCTTGTTTATTAACAGGCTTCTGTAGCTGACAACTTGAGCTAAAAAATGTTGTTTTACAAGTATTATTCTCATATTATGTTGTGTTTTCATATATTTACATTTTAAAAACTTTCTTCTCCGTGAAAAGATCATCAACTCAGCATCAGACGATATATTCCTTAAATTTGAAGCATGTAAGCGGTTGTCTAATGCTACTGGTTAGTTCTGGTCGGCTCTCAGTTTTCTATTGCATGGAGATCTGCGGGGCAGGGGGCGTGTTTAGCTACAAAAAAGGCATATTGCTTACATTATATCACAGTACATGATGGGATAATCACTTTTACAGTTTTCTGAAAAATCATACATAATTTCTGAAAGGGGAAAACTCCAGAAAGATACTTTAAGTAGACTAATTTTGACTTTAACCTGTAACGTATGGACATTTCCACATTGTGGGGACATTTTGCTGGTCCACAATGCTAAGCACCCTAGTACATGGTTTTAGAGGGACAGTAGGTACTGAAGGTATTCAGACCCCCGTCAATTCTTCACTTTTCGTTATATTGCAGCCATTTGCTAAAAATCGGTTAAATTCATTTTTGCCTTATCAATGTATGCACAGCACTCCATATTGACAGAAAAACACAGAATTTTAGAAATATCTGCAGATTTATGAAAAAGTACGGTGGGACTGGTTGCAATGAAGGGAACAATGAATGTGCCCAAGTACAGGAATATCCTGGACAAGAACCTTCTCCAGAGTGCTCAGGACTTCAAACTGCGCCAAAAGTTTACCTTCCAACATGACAATGACCCAATGCACACAGCTAAGATAGCCAAGAAGTGGCTTCATGGCAACTCTGTGATAGTTCTTGAATGGCCCAGCTAGATCCCTGACTTAAACCGAACTGAGCATCTCTGGAGAGACCTAAAAATGGCTGTCCACCAACGTTCACCAACCAACCTGACAGATCTGGTGAGGATTTGCAAAGAGGAATGTCAGAGGATTCCCAAATCCAGGTGTAAGAAACTTGTTGT